AACATATGTTATCCCTGATAGGAGGGGGGGGGGGGGGGGGGACAACAGGGAAAAAATATTGGATTAACATTGTGAATTATGAAAAAATGATATTCGTTAAAGAGCTTCCGGGTCATTGGATGCAGTAACCTTTTTGCACAGTGTCATGCAGTAAACATTTTATATTCAAATGAAGAACATTCCATTCAGTCTCCATTCTAATGAAACACGCAAACTATGAATGGTGGTGGTTATTTAACCTGACTGCTAAGAAAGCATAAATGCTTGTAAGTAAGCAACCAGACGGCCGACGGCTTTAGGTCCTCCCCGAGGGACCTGGTAATGAGGATTAATGCCTTACCAAAGGGCACTAGCGCATCGCCTTGGTTTCGAACCCGGGTCACCGGATTACGAGACCACCGCTCTACCGATTGAGCTATCGCGCCTCCTCACTAAAAACTGCAACTACCAAAACACCTCAACCTGAGCTTATTTTGATAAGTCGACCAACTCTTTGTTTCTTGTTGTTGTCAAGACGGACATTAACAATCATTACAAACAAGTTCTACACAAAATGAAATACTCAGTTTAGTCTTCTGGGGATCATTCAAGTGACAAAGTGTTATAATTACAAACATCTATAAACTATATTCTGTTACACATTTCCATTGTGTCATTCATTATACCTTCGCTAATCAGGCCTGAGAAACCAATCGGCTCGCACGCTAGTTATTAAAGAATTATTGAAAACGTCGAATTTTTTTTGTTGTTGATTTGTTTTTATGTCTGTATGATATCACTCTAACATGGAACGTCAAGGAACTCGACAGCAGCTACGTACTGTGTAACGGACATTGTGGTGATGACGTAGGATTGCGAAAGAGTGAGAGAGACGTCATACATGAAGTGAATGAAAAACAAACAGCGCCAACATTGCGTCAAATTACTGGCGCCTTGGCTTATATTCCTTCACACGCTCGATTAGCGCAAGCAATAGGGACTTTTAGATTTGCACGTCGACAGCTTTGACTGCAACGTGTGACGTCATTTTAAGGCACTGCGCATGCGTTGCGTCGTCTCAGTCGGCGATCGAGAATGCGTCAACCTTGATTTTCCTAACTATAGTACCGTACCTATATACCGCGTGCGCATAACATATACAGTTCCTCAGGTAGACAAAGGAACATCCCTTCCCTGCCATTATGTAAAAATGTGTAGAACAGGTGTCACATGCATATTCACCTGTTCTATACATGTTTACATAATAGCAGTGAAGGGATGTTCTTTTGTCTACCACAGCAATTATTGTTGAGGGTAGAATGAGGAACTGTATATTTTGTCCTCTTTCTTTGTCCGTCATATTCACAGTAGGGTGCTTTAGTAACGAGACGGAAGGCAAAGAGGACGGGAGAATTCACTCAACCGAGATCAAATAATGTATGCAGTTAAGATTCTGACTATTGAAATACTATTATTCGTATCAGGTGAATGAAATAATTTGTATTGAGGCACTTCACAGAGACGTATGCATTTAATTTGGTTACATTACGAACATCGTCTATTGTACGGCGATACGACTCTTCCATCGAGTTTAGGGAACGAACGCTATTATGGCTGAGACAGGTCGTGAAAATCAACAAGACGGAGAAAATTCTAATTCGCACATGCGCAGATTGATTATTTTGCTCGGTTACCCTCGTCTTTGCCTTCCGTCATTTTCGTAATGTAACCAAATTTAATGCATAAGTCTTTGTGAAGTGCCTCAATACAAATTATTTCATTCACCTGATAAGAATAATAGTATTTCAATAGACAGAATCCGAACTGCATACATTATTTGATCTCGGTTGAGTGAATTCTCCCGTCCTCTTTGCCTTCCGTCTCGTTACTAAAGCACCCTAGTGTTACTTCCTGCGTGCATGTATATCGTCGAGTGCAATCTAAAAGATTTCTAATTGTAGTCAACATGGGCAGTTGAGTACGTTGACAGGCACTGTTAAGTCGGCGTTCGTCGTGTTCTCGTCCACTCGATCTCAAAGTCCCCAATAGGGACTTTTAGATTTGCACGTTGTCAGCTTTGACTGCAACGTGTGACGTCATTTTAAGGCACTGCGCATGCGTTACGACGTCTCAGTCGGCGATCGAGAATGCGTCAACTTTAATTTTCGTAAATCTATTACATACATACATACATATTGATATTTATATAGCGCCTTTACATGCTCAAGGTACTAGTATGCCGCGTGCGCATAAAATATACAGTTCCTCAGGTAGACAAAGCCGAAACATCCCTTCCCTGCTATTATGTAAAAATGTGTAGAACAGGTGTCACATGCATATTCACCTGTTCTACACATTTTTACATAATAGCAGTGAAGGGATGTTCTTTTGTTGAGGGTAGAATGAGGAACTGTATATTTTGTCCTCTTTCTTTGCCCGTGATGTTCATAATGTTACTTCCTGCATGCATGTATATCGTCGAGTGCAATCTAAAAGATTTCTAATTGTAGTCAATATGGGTTTTTAGATTGAGTGGACGAGAACACGACGAACGCCGACTAATCATGCGTGTCAACGTACTTAACTGCCCATGTTGGCTACAATTGGAAATCTTTTAGATTGCACTCAACGATATGCATGCAGGAAGTAACACAATAAACATCACGGACAAAGAAAGAGGACAAAATATACAGTTCCTCATTCTACCCTCAACAAAAGAACATCCCTTCACTGCTAATATGTAAATATGTGTAGAACAGGTGAATATGCATGTGACACCTGTTCTACACATTTTTACATAATAACAGGGAAAGGGATGTTCCTTTGTCTACCTGAGGAGCTGTATATTTTATGCGCACGCGGCATACTAGTACCTTTCAGCATGTAAAGGCGCTATATAAATGTCAATATGTATGCATGGACTAGATTTAGGAAAATCAAGGTTGACGCATTCTCGATCGCCGACTGATACGACATAACGCATGCGCAGTGCCTTAAAATGACGTCACACGTTGCAGTCAAAGCTGTCGACGTGCAAATCTAAAAGTCCCTAATATCGCAACTGAAACGACGCCTTGGGCGCAACGGTCATTACCTGAAATGTTCCGGCGTCAATTGTAACTGGTCAGCTGCGTAGTTAGACCAGTGCAGTGACGGAGATGTCAAAGTAGATACCGATGGTTTATATTGCCGATTGAAGCATGGGACCGGGCAATGGCACGACTGCTCAATCACACCTTGGGTATAAGAATCTGTCCAGAAAAGAAAAAAAAAAAAGATGGCAGAATAACAGTAAAAATGTTGTAATTGTCATATATTCCAAGGTATAGCTGCATGGATGCTAAATGGCTCGTTCATAATATGACGCGAACACCGCGGTTTTTGTTGTTGTTATCTATAACGTGTAAATCAAGATCAAAGTGGGATTGTAACTTGTGTCAGTTTTCAACTACTTTTTCTGATATTGGTAAGTCATTCATGGTCTTTAATTCATAATATGAATACGATGCAGTGAAAAGTGGAAGATTATCTATGAAATGGCATTTTTGTACCCAAATTGCTATTTTAATTTTGTAGGGCTCATTATCTACTCCATTATTAATACCCCGGCTCTCGTTAGGTTACCGATTTCGGGGCTCACAACACTTTTCCAGCACCTCCAGAATCTCGACACTTTTATTACCATTTCTTCCACCTTTTCCAAAACTGCCCAATTTTCTAGTTCTAGTTACAACTTGCAGGCCAATGCCAATACCAATACGTCTGAACAATGAGCTTTAGCGATGCTCACCGTACGAAGGAGTCATGCAATCGAAGAACTCATAAGCTGTGCATTCCCGTGCTGGGGCTGTGTAGGGGGCAGATAAGGAAGAAAATCACATCATAAAAACAGGTTTAAATTCCCTCTAAAGTGTTAGGGGTCTCAAATCTTTTGATGGCAAAATTTCACTTAAATTTATATAAAGATGTGAAAGAGGATGTCATTAGTAACACACACTTCTGCAACGATATTTAACATTATTAAGGCCAATATTTGATGACATAAAACATTTAAGTTTTTTGTTGTACGCAGAAAACCTAGATACTTATATTCTTTCTTCAATATTCGTCTTCAAACACATTTATCTAAAAAATCCTTGCAGACGGGTGTGTGTTAAATGACATCCTCTTTCACATCATTGTATAATTCAAGTAAAGGTTTGCAATAAAAATGTTGAGGCCCCCAACACTTTAGAGGGGCTTTCACTCTATAGACAGATATTTATAAATTACAAAACTATTTGGTAGGTATTACCCAAAATGTGTTGCAAGTTCTTTCTAAAATTCTTGATTTAGTTAAATTAACGTTCATTACCATAAATGGACAACTACTTCCGGGACAACTGTCATCAAAGACAAAAGTGCATCCGGACAATTAATCTCTTTGACAATCTCTCCAAAGGGCAACATACATCCCTTGGACACTTACATCGGGAAAAACTACCCTCGAAATGCAAACCCCAGCATAAATAGGCCTACTGTTTCAAAATTGGGGAAAGTTGGCGTCATTGTCATAGAGCAGTTTTGTGGGAGGGGCGGTAGGCTATATTTACTTTTTTTAAATAGAACAACAAGTAAAGGGACGTTAAAGGTAAAGATCAGTTCTGGTCATGCGATTGCATTGTGATAGAAACGTTGTGGAATCGATCTGAAAAGGTTGATCATCTAGCATATAAGTATTGGTGTGTACTGCAAGGTTCTGGAATCCTCAAAATGATAAGAAATGTGGCCCAGTCTTGGTAAAGTTACAAGCACTGTACACGGAAAGATGTATATGAGACTACGCGACACGTGCGCGATATATATCCGGTCCGGATAGACATAATAATTTACCAAATATATCAATTAGTAGGCGGTTTCCCGGCAAAATTTGTATCATCACGTATTAGTCAAAACATATTCTTTCACATGATTGGTAATAAAAGCTTCCATTTCATTTTTTGAGAGGGGGGGGGGGGCGTTTCCAAAACTGGTCTATACCATTAAAAAATAATCTTACTACGCATCGATAAGCAGTTACAGTTGCATCTCTCTAGAAAGAAGTCCGATAAGCATTCTAGAACGCACTCCGAATATCCGTAGGTCTCAAAGTACTTTAGGGTGTTGTTTTCACATCGTCCATGAGGATGCTTTAAGTTATGATACTGTAAATGGGCAAGAATACCAAAAAACAGATTGGCGACAATGACAATGTCAATGATAATAGTAGTATTAAAACTGTCAGTTGAGATATAGGGTATCATGTATCTTTAAAAGTATATCCTAAAGCTTGCCTTCATTTGTTTGTTGTTCGCTGCCAAAGATTTTCTTATTTTTTAAGATTTTCTGTGTGTGTTTTTTAAATATATTTTTTTAATATGAATATCATTGTTGAACATTATATTTGTACTATTCAACTGTATTTCTTCCATGCCCCAGAAATATATAAAATTCGAAATGTTTTAATTATGTGGAAAATGAGAGATCTCACTTTTAATGGTAGAGAATAATTGTTTTGAAAATGTTAGCGTCTCAAATTGTGCATTCCACAAGTGTTGTTACCAGTACCAAAACATGTTTTTACAGATATTGAATAGACTATTGTTTTGTTTCTTATGGAATTCCCAAAAAAGACAAGAAATTATTTCGGGACGGAAAAAATGAAAAATGTTTCTTACTTCCGTAATTTCAACGCCGACTCTTGTTTCCATCCCGATGGCAACGCCAAAAGCTCCCTTCTCGACTAAAGGTTCGGTCCCGTAATCGTAGAGGAGGACCTCGAATCCAGCGCCGATCTTACCGAAAGGCTGGAAGTAGTATTCATGCTGGGCGGCGTTTAAGTTTAGATGTAAACCATATTTCAACCCTAGGGGAGAACAGGTAGATTTAATGTATTAATTATACTGATGAGGCTACCCTGGGTTTCAAAAAGAAGTAATATTAGTGTACTTATTAATATCAAGGGAATCTGTTTTTACTGATTTTGACCACATACATCTTCAAAATGTTCACGAACATTTCTTTTCACGAAAGCTGTTTCAAGGTTGTCTACAAAGGGGAGGTAAATTACTTGTAAATTAATATCAAAGTGGGATAATACCTTGTGTCAAAAATTCTAAAAGTCCATTGTCTAGCAATGAATATTGTGTGTGTGTGGGGGGGGGGCAGTCGATCTTTTTTTGTGATGAATGGGCAGATTGTATCAGGGTTTGTACTCGGTTTGTACTTGACGAGTTGGAACCGACGAGATAGCTGTCCGGTTCGGCGGCGTCCGGATGATACTAAACGCGGCATAACGTACGAGCCCGTTGCACACGAGGCCCTATTTCCATTACGCCATTCACGGACATCCGGGTTTGTATAAAATGCACAAACCAGGTCCAGGGGCAGTCTCAAAGAACAGAGGCAACGCCCTGAAGGAGGTTGGAATCTTTCGGAAGCTTTCTAGTTTGTCCGGAAATTAATTTTGAAGAAACTCTCGCTATATAGTAATCTACGGGGTGTCCCAAAATCAGGCCAATTTTCCCGTCATAATAAATAGACCAGTTCGTAGTTAGCACATGGTTCAGATGACTCCAAATATCCAGAGATCTTTTAAACATGGTAAATCCCACTTTGTGCCTTTTGGAATAATCACAGATAAAGTCATGGAGGTGATTCTTTGTTTGCCCTCTTAAAAGGATTACTTCCACCTGTGTTCAATGGAATGTATCACAGGTGCATGCAGTGGGTTTTACAATTGTGTACAAGTGACCTTTATCTGCGCATGCGTAGTGTTTTGACCCGCGAGCTGAAAAATTGGCCTGTCGGTGGGGGCGCTGTTTATTATCAATCCACCCTATGTTAGCGCCCCTTTTCGGCGTGGGAGAATAATGCATATCGTGTGCAACGGGTTTTTTACGGCTGAGGTAGCATACCAGAACTCTTGACCATCAATTGCGGAAATCCATTGTCGATGTCATTAAACACAATGCACACACCCGCATCGGTGACTCGCCGAGTGAAATTGGCGTGCGTCAATTCTCCGCCATTCCAGGACATTCTAGAGGGTTACAAAGGGGGAAAAAGGACAAAGGTAAAAAGCAACAAAACAAACGGCTTAAATATAAAATACACGGATTTGGAAAGCTGAACATATCGGCGACCTCGGAAATTGGCAAACACACAACTAATAGTTCGTATTGCAGTAATGTTCAAGTATTTCTTGTAGAAATAATAAGCGCGTCAGTGGCTTATTTGTATACCTTGTTGAAAAATGTTCATTCCCTTGAAGAATGCCCGTACAGACTTCAGATGCACTGAGATAAAGAAGAGCATGGCGTACTCACCCTAGTGGTAGTGTGAGTTCAATGTCATGTCCCATTTCTCGGAGCACTCTAGTCATTTCATAGGCCTCGAGCTCAGATCTGTATTTAGTCAGATTTACCGAAGGGTAATTAAGGTGCATATCAGGAAGAAAGTCCTCGAAGACGGTTCCGGTCACTGCTCGTCTCCTGCGTAATTAGGCCACGAATGAAAATTAAAAAAACATGTTGCAAATCGAACCCCGTGTGTAGTATTGGTTAAAGGAGCTTCACAAAGAAAAATTCACTACATCTGATAATTAGAACAAATTACAAATGGATGGAAAGATTTTCTCTTGAAAAACACGAATAATTTGCTGATAAATCATATAGATATCATGAAAAGGCGTAAAATTCAATTTTTCAAGACCCTTCTTAGACCCCCGAACGCCCCTGAACGTAAGCCAAACACACGAGCGTAGCGAGCTTTGAATAGTGACGTCACACACTGGACAAACAGCTCAGTACCGGAGTCGCGCGTGTAGCATGCAGTCTGCAGCTAGCCGTGTTCCGTGTGTGACGTCACAAATATTGACGCTCTACAAAGGACCGCTGAAGGCAGAAAATCTGGATCTCAAAACTAACATTTTTGAGAGTTGATTACTGCGGGCCCCAAACATATTTTGAAGAGGAGAGTTGTTTTATTTGATCAGTAAGGCTTCCCCTTCGCAATGATATGAGTTTTGCATCAATTCAAAACAGTTTTTAAAATTCTTCGTGTGTCTACTTTAACACCCAAACTTGATTTTGTCACATTTATTTCGATTTTTAGTTCACACAATAAAGAGATTCTCACTATTTCAGAAACTCCTTTTATCTAAGCTACCGTGATAAGGCGATGATGCATGAAAAGGATTTATTCCGCTTAGGTTCCCATCCACTTCACCGCGGTGGAAGATGACAAATGTGAATTCGTGTCTTGCCAAAGGATAATGGTGCCGCGGCGGTGATTCGAACCGCGTAATTTATATGCTTCGTTGTTTCGTGACCTATCCACTAGACCACGACATCTCAATACTAGCAGTGCACGGATCTGCCCCAGAGAACATTTCGGACATGCTGACCCCCTATAATCCTCGAGAAAATTTGCGATCAGCATCTGCTTGAGAGTCCTTGAACACAATTTTTGCTTGGCGATAGATCATGCACTGCTCCTGCACTCAAGACAGTTGTGGAACAGTTTTCTTCAGAGTATCTTTGATCTTGCGACCTGCGATACACTTTTAAAGATTATCAACACTAGTGTGGCTAGGAGGGATTAGACCACACAGCGAGGTCACTGACATGTGGCTATCTCATCAACTCAGCTCTCAAATAGCATAAGAAATAGAGGATCATGGGGGACCAACAGGCACCGATTGGGGAAGTTTTCTATATAGAGGGAGCAAGTAGCTACAAGTAGGACAGTGGGGCTTGAAACCCAACTAAATACATAGGCATACTCATTGCACATTGCTTGTAACTAGCCACTACCCCAGTCCAGGGGCGAATCCAGCCGGCGCCAGGGGAGGGGTCCCAATTCGTGAGAAAATATTTAGCGGTGAAACAGCCGGCCGATAATTCGCTCAGTGGGGGGGGGGGGGGGGGGTAGTGAGCATTAATCGCACCCCTCCCTTGAGCGCCAGGGAAGGGGGTCTATCTCCCAAAAAAAGGGTAAAATTAACGTGTTTTCACACGTTTTTTCCCCTGGATCCGCCACTGCCCCAGTCTCTCCCGGGTGCGTTATTTTTCTCTGCGGCACAGATTGGGGTGAGGTGCGTGTTGAGCCTATGGGAAAGTTTAGGGTTAGGGTTAAATCAAAACCTCTTTTTTTTAAAAACAAGCCACAATTTGTGCCGCAGAACAAAATGACGCCTCCCGGGTGCATCATGAATGGCATATTCAGTAGTTATGCAGTCTCATCAGCGCCTTTGACCGATATTGGCGCTCTAAAAATTCCTTGAATGGATCGGATTTGAATATCACCTACCTAAATTGGTTGATGTTACAGATAGCGACTGAAGGGAAAGGAACCTCTTCCTTGTAGTCGATGCTGATGTCAACGTCCTTCGGATGGGACGCAAAAAACAGGATCCTATCAATGACCTGGCCGCCCGTCATACAGAAAGCAATGAACACGAGGAGAAGCCATGTCAACCTTTTGAAACAAATTAATAAATAACGTACAATATGCAAATTCGCGGCATGCATCTTATGAATAAGGAGGGCGAGTGGTCTTACTGTATGGATTATTCTCTTGTTCTTTTTGCTTCCCCCCCCCCCCCCCCCGGTATCATAGGGAGAACAGTATGAATACTGATGAGGCTACCCTGGGTAAACAAGACATATTATTATTATTATTATTATTATTATTATTATTATTATTATTATTATTATTATACTGTGGTCGCAAATGTATATATGTCATTGTACACTTTTTTACACTACTGCTTCGTTATGCGTAATTATTGTTCAACCAACGGGAAAATAATTTCCTTGGCATGACAGATGAATTAATAAGTTCAAATTCAAATTCAAATTCATCTCATGGGCCTTCTGTCAACTTTTCTGTGGTTCTAAGAGACTGAAATTGTTTGTCTGCTTAGCTCTCGGTGGACAGGTGTATCCAAACTAAAATAAAATCAATCGGATAATTCGTACTGACCTTCTTAGTTTGATCTCACGTGGATTAAAGGCGTACCGAATACCAGCCACGCCTATACCATCGGGGACGAATCTGTACAATACCGCAAACCAAGACATCCTGTCGTTATACGGCGGATACGGCGTCCGTTTCATGTCCATCATTCCCTGGTCGACCATGGAGCTGTTGGTTTGCTCCTTAACCGAGGTTGTCTTCATCGACTCAACTGTCATCTTCTTAAGTGGCATGATGTCGAAGAGTTTTATAGGGATCTTAAGTGACGATGGCGGCGATGACGAAAACTAGAAGACTGTTGCAGGTTGCATTATTTGCAAAAGCAGTGGGTCGCTGTAGAATTTGAAGTAACAACAAAATAAGAAAATGAAGAAAAACAAATCGCCTAGTGAAATCTTCGTAATGATTCTCGAAGAGTATTATCAATACTGAATACCGAATAATGGACTTAGATGTCTTCTATTCAGAAGAAAGGCCCAATCGGCTACAAACTGATAGATCGGTGAGGTTGGTGCTATAGATCCGGCGTCGCCACGATTCCGAACTTATCACGAATATTAGAGTATAATTATAAAAGCTTTCTTTCTCATTCTCCTGTAACTTCTTCTAAAATCAGAAGGATCGCGTGGTAAAGGGAGAGAGGATTTCATTCATACCCACTTGGAATCCTCGATTAGATCTTGTAACACATGCCATAATATAGCATCCTTTGTAAAATAGAACATTGTAATTATCTATTTCCGCATATCTAGAACTGACCAGATCTACTATTGCAAATGAAGCAATTGCATTCATTCCACAACTATCCTACTATAAATTTTGCAACAAATGCTGAGTAAGATAAAGCGAAATGAAAGCATGCATGACACTGCATGGAAAGAATTGTCCAAATTAAAAAGTACCTTGAAATGGATTTAGTTCTTTTCTCCGATTTATCAATCAAAAACAATATTTCGCAGCTTTAGGTTTTTACAAGATGTTAACGAATGCAAGAATTTCCAGACGGACTCCATTCAGCAACAACTAAAGGATCGTTTCTGAGTGTCATATTAAGAAGAGTTACGAAAATGAGGTCATAAATTTATCGAACGATATTTGATTACATAAAGGGTGAGCTAACAGTGGCGTAAGTAGATAGACAGTGGCGTAGCATTGGTCCAGACATTGAAGGGGGCATCCACATCATTATGGGGGAAGGGGCGATAGCGCTGGTCTTACTAGGTTAATTAAATGCAGTACGAATGGAGAAGACCATTGATAGGGCTGTGGTAGGCCTATGTTGGTGTAGGCTCTTGAATGTAAGACGTGACTTCCTGGATTCGATCCTTGCTCGGCGATTGCATCCTTGGACGAGGTGTATTAAATAGGTGCCTGACAATGCTGGGGTAATATTCATTTCATTTCGTGTATTTTTCCTCATTCCAGCTTTAAAAAAAAACTCAAAATTATACAAAATCATGTACATTATAAAATAAAAAGGATTACATATAGATGAAAAGAAAAACAAGTACATGTAGGTAACAAGGGGGAAATAGTGAATAAAGATGATACACCAGTATTCTCCCCCATTTCCCCCTCTCTCTGTCTCGCTCTCCCTCCCCTCCCCCCCCCCCTCTCTCTCTCTCTCTCTCTTTCTCTCTTTATCATTGGTATTCAATTAGAGAGAGGCATTGTGCCCCCGTAACACGTAGCCGCAAGTTTGCAACCAACGACGCGGGCTTTTCGTTCGCCTTTTTTCGACGTTACGTAATTGAATCTACAATCGCATCTCAAACACTTTATTCACTTCCGTCAAATGCTTTTTGCGATTATCGAAATATTTTTTTCGCGCGATCATTTCACTAATGGTATATTTATTGATTGATTCTTCAATGGTTCATTATTGGTCCCACACTTTGTTGTCAGGGTGAATGCATGTACATATTTATGTGACTAAAACTAACACAATAAAAACCAATTAGCCAAATTGAATACCTTGGTTTTCTATTTATTTTAACCTCCTTGGTAAGAGGAAGCAGGGGAAGATGAAAATGCAGACCTTGAGGGCAAATGAGAAGGGATTTTAAAATGATGCTTCAACACCTGATACGGGTTGGTACACTTGTTGAAATTAGGTTTGCATTTGGCGAGCAACAATGTTTTAATTGAACGGATTACAATATGATATTTACACTACGTTCAAGCCTTGCGATTTTACGAGAAAAAGTAAAATCGTGCTTTTTAATTGGACATTATCAACATAGCTGCTCTTCACCCAGGTGTTAAAGGCAGTGGTTTCTACTGACACTACTTCAGATTACGTATACTGCCATCTGCTGCTCACAATGTACCGATATGTTGACAGCCGTTGCCCACAATGCATCACTATCTATATGACGCGTGCGTGATGATGCTTGGGTACAGGAACTGGAAATCGCTCTATACACGCCTTCACCAAAATATGGCGCAATTGAAAGTACATTACAGCAGTGGTAGCGATGTCAATAAAACACTATGCCTTTATTAAAACGGGTAACTGGTAGGAATACGTACGTCATTGTATTTTGCTCTATATCGTGAGCATCTGAACAATGTCGCCTAAATGAAATGCTCTCAGGGACGGGGGCACGATAAGGGACACATTTTCGTTCTTGAATTTAAGTGTGTATAACAAAAAATAAAGGGTTTTGCTCGGGGCGTGGCAACGGCCCCCATGCCCCTGGAGGCCTGGACAGACCAGTTCATCTAGAAACAAGCAAACATTCTTGGCTCCTTTGAGGAGTTCTTCACAATCAGTTTGGCCTTGGATTTGTATAATCATCTATATAGCCCTCCCACCCAACTGTTTAGGTTGCAAATAATGATACTTATAATGATAATAACAACTATAATAATAATAATGATAATAATAACTTTTAATAAATAAATATAGAATAGAAATATCTGAATGTCTTACAATAGAGCAACTCGTCCACTGCCCACAACAGGCCTTTACTGTCATTGGCAAGACATACTTCTTGTATGGCCTTCTTGTTGGCATTCAGCCGACGATAAAATATCAAATATATAGCATGGTGGGAAACCTTTTTTTTTAGGCAAACAAAATCCTATCGTTTTCCTTCTGAACGACAGTTGACTTATTGTTCCAATTTCCTTTTAAAGCCACTTTTGTTCGTTAATTGACTTTGTAATAAATTCAATGAAACAAGTCCTTAATTACAGTGTTGAGTTGTTCATGTCTCCTCCCCCTAATCTCTCTCTCTCTCTCTCTCTCTCTCTCTCTCTCTATCTCCTTTTCTCTCTACTTGAGTCCCTCTCACCCTGTCGCTTTATATCTCTCTATTCATATACAGTCAAACCTTCTTTAGTGATCCCCTGTCTACAAAGACCACCTGTCTAAAATAGACCAAATTTTTCGTTCCCCTTGAAAATGGTTTCAAGGAACCTGTCTACACAGACCACTTTTTGTGTTTCCCTTGGGCGGTCGCTATAGACAGGTTTGACTGTGTATATTATATATGTTCATGTATATACCTTCTTCTCTCTTTCTTTCTCTCCTTCTCACTTACTTAATTATCTCTCTACCCCTCCATCGCTCGATCTCTCCATATCTCTTTTTTTTCCTCCTCCTGCTGTCACGGTCTTGTTTAGTCATTGAGATGGTAAATAGATTTGACTCGTTCAGCCTACCATGATTAAGATACATTTAAGAACTGTTGTAGTGTCTATGTTTAACCTGAAGCCCATATACGTCGTATTTTTTCGCACGACTTTGCACTCAATCGCAGCCAGAGTCTTCCCATGTGAGTCCATCTTCGGGTATCGAAGCGAATGGTACACCGAGCGCTCACCTTTAGCTCCGAAACTCCCTACCCAACCCATATCGCATCCCCCGTCGGGTACGCACCCCGTAACCCTTGGCAACGGAGGACGCTGTCCTTATGGCAACCAGCCTCCCCCGGAAAGGCACGACTCTTTCAACTGTCACAGCGACCTTTTGAACCGCCTAAAATGGGGATCAATACCTTGAACTAAGCCAAGAATATCTGTTGACAAGCAGGGACCTCTATTCTATAATAAGGTGTATTTGAAGGGTAAATAAGGAAAGATATGTTTTCATGATACCTGATCGTCTTTCTTGCTGATTTTTAGTCAGCCTGGTGGTTCGATAGGTTTCCCTATAGAATATACGGAATTCAAGCATTTATATACGCATTCTCACATGCCTTCCTCACATCCCGATCCTTTTCTCTTTGTTATTCTTAAAAATGTTTCCTCACGGTTTCCTTACTGTTTGTAAACGCTCGTTTAACTTCCGTTATCTCATCCCGTGATGATTCTTTTACTATCAAAATTAATACAAGTATGGTAATGGTAATGTAGATGTTCTTCCTTAAAATTATTGTACCCCTTTTGCAGCCAAAATCAAATTTTGTAGAACTTTGCAGCAATTATGAATATGTCACGTATGTCCTTTGTCGTTGGAATTTAACCTTTTCATTTGTTGGCCTGCAAATGGGTCATAGTACTTTGCTCTCATCGTGTATTGTACAAAACTGGAAGAAAAAAAGTAAATAAAACATCATTTTATATCAGTAACTCGTAAGGCAAAACGGGAAATTATTTCGCGTGGTAGATTTGGTACAAACTGAAAATTATTTCGGGGACAATATTGGAATAGTCCCAAACAATGACTTTCACAGAATCCGAGACTTTGAATAACATGCCATACATGAGCAGAGCAAAAAGATAGTTAGTGTCAAAGAGCTTGATACTCTCACCTCATTCTAACATAAAATGAAACATGATATGATAACAGAGCTTCGATATAAATAAACCGGACAGTTATTTTCGGATATATTTCGGGAAGGGGGGCGTCTCAAAAGAAGATGGAACAGTTGTGTAGCGTGGATCCAGCCTGTGATGGGGTACTGGGAAGTGTTTCACAAAGACCCTAAGTCGAACTTAACTCTAAGTTGGACTTATACAGTATGGAGAGCCATTTGTAGCCTTAAATAAAATATATATAATAGCAAAAATTCAAGTAATTTAGACTTTTCATAAATTCCACATCAAGAAAATGAAATCTCCTTGATGATAGAAAATATGAATGATTTGAATCAACATTTTATGCCTTTTAAAATAACTTTTACAAAATATTTTTAAATATGTTAACGGCTCTCCATAAATGTTAAGTCCAACTTAGAGATAAGTTCAACTTAGGATCTTTGTGAAACAACCCCCTAGTATCATT